CATGTGCAGTTCCTACTATCTCTGATTCAATTTTAACCCCACTGCGAAGCCTCTTCTAAGGATCTCCAGGTCTGGTAGCAGATCCCTGGAGAGAATACAGAGTTAACGTTTCAAGTCAAGTGACCTGCTTTGATTGATCTTTTGTTCCGAATGTTAAACGTTAACGCTATTTTCTCTCTCCACAGATCTGCTGCCAGACCTGCTGAGTTTATCCAGCAATTTCTGTTTTTGTTTGTTTAAGATTTTAGGTGAACGGTGATATGAAAAGCTGTAAATTGCTGGCAGTATTTGAGCAGCTCGGCGGTGTGTACAGCTCTATCGTTTCTACAACTTGTCAATATCTAATCGCCCAGCTGACAGCTCAGACTCATTGTGACGTTTCCCGTCATTTTCATACTCTTACATCATCTGATTGACACCCGTTGGTTGCTGAGGTTACGCAGTACGGGTCATGACGTAACTGACCAATCAACGTCGCCTAAATGGATGGGGCGGGGACAACATGCCGTGTGTCGACGGCGTGACGTCAATACGTTAATACCCGCCCCCAGCTCGCCACCGGATTCCACCAATTGAAATATGTCCCATTGGCCCGCATCAAGACGATGGACAGTTAATTTGTCCAATCAAAGATCGGATCGCTTGGAAGGTGGGGTTCGCTTTTGGAACGGGACGGGCCAATCACAGATTGCAGACGGTGGCGAGCTGGGCGGGATGTGGCTGTCCAAAGAAGCTGGGTGGCAGGCGTCTGCCCCGTACTTATCTCCTCGGTCGCTCTGCTGGTTCGTCGCTTCAGAGGCCGGGGAGGTACGGGAGGGGGTGACGCGAGCGATGAGAGGGGCATCAAACTGATGTCGGAGGGGCCAATCCAAGATGGCGGCGACAGCGCTCACCGAGGATCAGCGTTACGGTCTATCGTGTGGGAAAGCGAATCCCGGCAAAATCACCGTCTTTCACGTTAAGTTGACAGAGACAGCCTACCGAGCGCTGGAAGCCTTTCAGTTTTCAAAGGTGGGGGTGGGAGAAGATTTAATTTTCTCTAAGTGTTGTTTCAACTTTTCATGAATGCGAGCAGCCGTAGTGACTGACAGTTCAGATGGCAATAGTAACACCCGGAATATGGACTTCTTAAAAAAAAAACGCACATCCCAGCCGTTTAATGAGTCCAATTCATTATTTTTCAATCAAGATTATGTCTTCACCCACCCCCTCCCCACTTCTGTAAAAGCCCAAGTGATTCTTCCCACTACCTTGAGTTTTTTTTCACCTTTTGAGCCAATGAAGTGCAATTAAGAAAGTGACGATTTTGCTGACCGCATTTCTTATTAATACATCTATTTTTCTGAAGTGAATGCTGCCAATCCACAACCAACATAACTTGACCGGCTCGATTTTCCTTTGAATAGAGCAGATCTTTGTCGCTCTCACCCATTGCTGTTAACAATTTATTTCACTAACTGCCGATTTAACCTTTATTTTCTAATATTACATGCCATGTAAAATAAATTATGACCTCGAATGTCTGCCAGCAAAGATATATAGTTCGCGAGAAGTTGGGTGATGTTCGTTTGACATTGAAATATTTTCGACTTGTAATCAAAATAATAAACTTCGTTGTTGGAATAGTTTTACGTGGATGTAGCAAATTTTCTCATAGCCTAAGCGAATGGAGACACAGAGTACGTGATGTGTGTCGGGAAGCGATTAGACAAGGCTGATTAAGTTCTGCAGTAACCATTTCACTCTAGAGACAACGTATTTGCAAACAAGCTACCTCCCTGCATATCTATTATGCAGACATTAGAAAGGTTTTAAATCGCCCAGACTGAGTGTCAAATTAACCCTTTTTGGGAATTTTTAAGTCCAACTTTGACTTTTAAATATTGAGCTACAGAATGTCTGGCGTACAGGTTTTTAATCTAAGATGTAGTTACTGGATAGCATTGTAGAACGATGCCTCGACACCAGTAACGAGCATTTTAATTTAAACGAATACACAGACTCTGCTAAACATAATGAATCCCTATTTCGGCAGTTCCAATGTTAATAATAATTTTCTTTTTAAAAAAACTTGCTTGTTATATTAGCAAGTAAACTGGGAAGAAAATGGTTTTTCATTTTCTTGGCTTCGGACTTTTTTTGGGGGGGTGGCGGACGTATTGCAGTCGTATTGATTTACGTAAATTGCATTGACACGGAGAGCAAACGTGGCTTGGTCGAAGTGTATAAATTGTGTTGTAGAAGTAGCAGGTTTAATTCTTAATAGTTCATGATCTTCAAGTGATTGATTTATTTTGGTCTTTTTAAATGAACATTTTCTATAGAGTATAATTTCATGAGTAATTCACAAAGAAAACGTCTATCATTGCAATGACTGCTGAACCTGCCCAGACGCCCAACAACCCCAGAATTAACAGTCAATCCATTTCAAAACAGTTTTCGTCGAGCCATGTCTTTAACTCATAGAATGGCTTGCGTTTGGTTTCAGCACAAATATCGCTCAGACTTATTGCCACAATCTTTTTATTTTTAAAAGTGAAGTTGAACATAGAGACTTCTTATGAGAAAGCCTGCAAGCGATTTTCCTATCATTTTATTATAGACTAACAATGTACCTGTAAATTTTAAAAACTTAATTTATTTTTGTATTGAACATTTCAACAATATTTTTGATCTTTTTGGTTTGTATTTGGTTGGGGAACTGAGTTGGGGCTGTCTCTTTTTGCTGTGTCAGCAAACGTGATCGACCACTGTGGGTTAGAAATATTCTAGCAAGCATTCATCAGTTTGCAGATCCGTTTTGTTGACACCTTTTGTAATCTGTAGACTTATTTATAAGTAGCTGCAATATAAACCTGAATCTTAAATTCTGATTTAAGAAATTTGCTGTTGTATATAACGATCTATGTACCATAAAATGTGTTTTCAGTTTACTGATTTGTGACTTGAGTTTTTCTCGAGTCTTTTTTCTCGAGTCATGGCCATACAACATGGAAACTGACCCTTTGGTCCAGCTAGTCCATAGTGACCACATTCTCGAACTAAACTAGTCCCACCTGCCTGTGTTTTGACCCATATCCCTACAAATCTTTTCCGTTCATGCACTTATCCAAATGTCTTAAGCATTGTAACTGTACCTGCATCAATCACTACCTCTGGCCATTAGTTCGTACTACCCACTGTGGTTTTTTTAAAAGAAAAAGTTGCCCCACCCTGTCCTTTTTTAAGGTGAGAGGAGAAAGATTTAAAAATCTGCCCTGTGGTTTTGAACTACACCCTAGGGAAAAGACCTTTTGTTTACCTTATCTATGTTCCTCACAATTTTATAAACCTTTATAAAGTCACCACTCAACCTTCTGCGCTCTAGTGAAAAAAGTCCCAACCTATCTTTTATAATTGAGACCCTTGATTTCCAGCAACATCCTGGTAAATCTTTTCTGAACCACTTCTAGCTTCGTAAGATCTTTTCCTGTAACAGGGTAACCAAAACTGGACACAGTACTCCAGAAAAGGCCCCTCCAACATCCTGTACAACCTCAACATGCTGTCTCAACTCCTGTACTCAAAAGGTTTGAGCAATGAAGGCAAGCATACTAAACGCCTTCTTGTGATGCAAATTTCAAAGAATTATGTACCTGAACCCTATATCTGTTTGTTCTACAACACTGTCCAGGGCCCTACCAATAATTGTGTACATCCTAGCCTTGTTTTACAAAAATGCAATACCTTGCATTTGTCAAAGTTAAACTCCATCTGCCACTCGTCAGCCTATTGATCAAGATCCGTTTGTAATCTTAGATCTTCACTTTCCACGAATTTTGGTGTCATCTGCAAACTTTCTAACTCTGCCTCCTATATTGTCATCCAAATCATTTATCAATGATGAATAAAAGTGGACCCAGTACTGCTGTGGAACAGCACTGGTCATAGGCCTCCAGTCTGAAAAACAGCCCTCCACCACCTCTCTTTGTCTCCTAC